TTTCCTTTTTCAAAAAATTTCTTTTTTCACTTATGTATAATTCTGTATTTTTCTATTTTTTTAAACTTATTTCTTTTTATCGATGACATTTGTGATTGTATTTAATTAAAGTATTATTAAGTAATATTTTGATTCTTATATTTGTAACTATATTTTTTTACGGTATTTATTTAGCATATTATTTTACAACTATTTTTTTCTTATTTGACTTTTTGATTTAAAAAATTTATATTGTCATATTTATTAAAAAAAAAAATTAAATAAGTACATTGTGCCCCCTCTGAAATAAAATCCTGGCTCCGCCCCTGCTCACACAGTACTCGTTCAGTGAACAAACCACCCCTTGTTGGCCTTTGCTAGTTTGGGCGTCAACTTTTTTCTTGCCTAAATTTCCTTTGGGCTTGGGCTTCGACTTGTTACCTATAGTATGGGCTATATTTTGTATTTTTCTTTGGGTTGATCTGGTTCCTGATGTTCTTGGGCCACATATACACTATCTACATATTTACTTCATCTATACTAATTTAAATTTCAGATAAAAACAAACAAACAAAGGGTACGTTTAGTAACGTTTTCGTTTTCTGTTTTTGCAGTCGCAAAGAAATAGAAATATAATTTTGTTTTTCGAAGTAAAAATAGAAAGCAAAAATAACGTTTAGTAACCTTTGCTGTTGCCACACCATTTTAATAACAAAAAACAAAAAGTAGTGTTTAGTAAAACATTTGTTACAAATTTTTTTTTTTTTTTTTGGAGATTTTTTTAATTTATTTTTTCATCCATCTATCAAAATCTAACTTTCAATCACAATAAAAGATAAAATCTAAAAAGGAAAAAAAAATATATATATATATATAGGGCAAGATAAGCGTACAATTGTATAATATATATATATATATATATATATATATATATATAAATAGATTATATATATACATATATATTAACAAAAAATCTGAAAACAAACCACAACCAATACATGTATTACAATCACAAAAAAAAAAAAAAAAAAAAAAAAAAAAAAAAAAAAAAAAACAGGGCATATAGTTGTATGATGTATATATATATAATAGAAAAATAGATTTTGTTTAATGTATATATATATAATATAAAAGTTCTAATGGAATAATGTCAGTGGTTGTGTATTAATGGAAGAGTAATGTCAGTTGTTGCATAAAAAACGAGAGAAATAGTGGTGAAAACGTTTCCTCTGCTACAGTGAAAAAACACAGGAAACATCATTTTGATGTTTTCTCTTTCTTTCATAAAAATGAGGAATGTTTTCATTAAGAGGAAACAAAAACAAATTACTAAACATGATTTTTGTATTTGTTTCTTTTTTTTAAGGATTGACAACAGAAAACAAAAAATGTTTTGAGTTACTAAACACACTTATATATATATATATATATATATATATTTGTTTATTTATAAAAACAAAACAAAACATTCACCTGGCAGAAATGGCAGTGGTATTTGGATCAGGATCCACTCTTCTTCCTCCATCAGCCGTATTGGGCGACATGGTATGTGGACCAATGACAATGTAATTCTATGATTGATTTAAGGTTTTTGCGTTTTCAATTTAGAAGTCTGGCACTTCAAAATTCACGGGAAGCACTAATCTACTAGACTAAAACCTATTTGTGATTTATACTATAAGAATGACAAAAATTGAGAAAATAATTTTCAATATGTAAATGAAGAGCAATGTTGATAAAATAGTGTAAAACTAATTAGTATTTATGAATAAAAATTAATATAAGAGACAGAGATATTAATTAAAATTAACGAAGTAATTTAAAATGATTTTAAAATACGAAATAAGTGTTTTAACCCATTTATTTGGACAAAGTTATGATGAAATTATTGAAATTAATTTTAATTTAGGAAAAAATTAATTAATTTTAAGATAAGAACAAGGTGTTTAACCCATTTATGTGGACAGAGTAATGATGATTGATGATGACATAAAATATTCGTTAACAAAATTACAACGAGTACACAAAACTCGGATGAGGTCGACTAGGCCAACACTCCTGAGAAATCAAACTCTAAAACACAAGCAAAACCTAAACTTGCTAGGTATTGAAATCTCGAGAACACAAATCTCGAGTACATAAAGCTACATATAATACATTCACAATTTCACATACATAGAGAGATATAATAAGCAAAAGTAGTGTGGAATAATTACATGAACCATGTGAACACCTCCGGAAGGCTCATTTAGGCTAGTTTGTTTCAACGGAAAATTATTTTTACTTTTTCGGTAAATTATATATATATATGTATTTTTTTTAGTATTTGGTAATGGTCGAAATTGAGGTCGAATTCATCGGATTAAACGTGTAAAATAATTTGTCGAAAATTAATAAATAAATTATTTTTATTAAATTTTAATATTATTTTTTTTTGTAAATATCTTATGAGAACAAAACACCAAAAAATAACCTAAAAGCAGCCCAAGGATAAGCAAATTGGGTTCCCTTCCAATGGGCTCTGTAAGAGCAAGGCTCAGTAAATCTTTTGACCCATATGGGTCTGTACATTTTTCCTATTTAAATATACTTAACTTACCTTCAAAACCAAAAAATACTTAAACAAATAAACGGAGCCTTAAGTTCAAAAAAATTTAATAAATAAATAAATGATTGAATTGTCGAATTAGAAAATCAATTTTGGTGCACTTCCAAATCAAGAACATGCCGCCTAAAAGCACATGTTTGCATTTCAAATGTAACATTTCGAATTAATATGAGTCTCACTTGAATGCATTAAATGGTTGACAGTTATTTTGCCCATCACTTTAATTGTCTGGATCTCATTATTTAATGACGTTTCTAGTAATCAAGAGTTCTTCCAATATTTTCTGGCCAAACTTGGAATCCCTTACATTCTTTTCTAGGAAAGAAAATAAGTGAAGGATAGTTTGTTTCTGGTAGTTACATGTGCCATGTCATAATCATAAAATGTATATGCATAATGATCAGATTGAGAACACAACCAGCATTATAACCTAATTCAAGTTATGAAACACAACGAAAGTTAAAATCCAACCAGACTTACAACTTGAAGAACCTAACTTGAACTTATTTTTCCAAGCCAATGTTCTTCTTTGATTAGTTGAGTTAGGATCGATTAATTGAGTTAGCTAGGCTCGAACTTGATCGGGTTAATTAGGTTAACCTTTATTTGGATTAGCCTCGTACTATACTCAAATTAGGCAAAGTCGGGGTTCCAGTAAGCCTCAGCTTACTAATTTTTCAATAAAAATAATACATAAATTGTATGGTTACTCTCTTAAGGTAATAATAAATGACCTCTAACAAAGTAGGATTAGATTGTACATGGGTTGTTTGGTTGTTTCTAAATGTACGATAAACACTTTACCAATTAGGCCATTCAAATATTACCGTATATATTTGCTATATAGATAAATTTGCTTTACTGTTAAATAATAAAAATAAATAAACAACAACAACAACCGCCCTTCTAAAATGATCTCTAACCTTGTTGTAGTTGAAGATAAGTTCAAATAAAAAAAATGGCATTACATTGATAATGACTTAAAACAATATCCAACCAAACACCTACTAAAGAATTTTAGGTCAACAGCCAATCAATTAAATTTGGGTAATAATGGAACACACCAACAAATTGAACAAAAATAAAATATATAGAATGCCATTATTGTCAATGCTACATCATCTTTGAAAGCATGTTACGCTACATTCAATTGGAATTGAAATTAGTACCTTAAAGGAGGAATTGGAATTGCAGTAGATAGTTCTACTCCGATCGACTTCTATTTTTTATTTTAATGTGTCAATTCCGTACTTCTGAACGTCATGTAACTGACTACTCTCAGAATCATGCACGGTATAACTAGTATTTTTTTGTCCACGATGATTGTCTCCAAAACTCGGTTTGTGATAAAATAACAGGATTTAAAATTAAAATTTTATTTTCCAACATCCTTAATTAAGTATTTAATATTAATATTTTATTTTATTTTTAAATCTTAGTCGTTACAAATTATATCAGAGTCTAAGTGTGCTGACGAGAATGTTTGGCCTCCTAGGGGGATAAAAATCCTTTCTGGCACAACAGTAGATCCGTCCCAGTTGGTGAGGATAATTTGAGATATAGGTCAAGAAGATGTTGGGATGCATGTTAAGAAAATGTTGGAATGTCGACAAGGAAAAAGTTAAGATGCAAAAATGTTGTGATACAATGCCAATGTCCCAATATATAACATATATTCCAAATTAAAGAATTTTGATCCCCTAGGGAGTGGATTGTGGCTACTTTATGGGCGGATATGTCGTGTGCGAATGCAAAAGATACAAATATTTTATCACACTAAATAAATTACGGGTATATAATCCCACATAATTTGGGTGTGAAAAAGGGAAGTACTATATAGGTGAACAATTCCATTTGTCACTCCAATTAGTATGAAACATTTTAAAATAAAATTCAAAAACAAAATTACGCAAGTTCGAGTTCAAAAATGAATAATATCATACCATACAATTGGGTGACATAATGGAGTGAGTAATACAGTTACAGCCCAAAATGATAATGATAATGATAATGTATGTTATTTTGACAGTAGAATCCTCCAACTGAAAATAATATTTAAGGGATATGGATGACGTAAATGCAATGCCACTAATAAATTAGTACAATTAATAAACACACATCTGTTGGATTTCCATCCTAGTTTATATATATATATGTATTCTTGTTGAATGGGGCAACGTGGGCCCAATATTGGTTTGTTGAACGCATCGACAGCTATCTAATACCCGAATTTCTTAATTGTTTGGAATTTAAAATATATATATATATATATATATATAGAATTGCTTTTTTTTAACAAAAAAAAAAAAAAACTCTCTATTAAAACAAATCTTGAAGAGAAAAGCATTTTGGATGGATAGCAATAAAATGTACATTGAATTAAAATGCATAAAAAAAAACACACCCAAACAGCTTGTGTAAAAATTAACTCCTCATCAGACTTTGTATCTTTGTAATCAAATTCATGTTCACTATCACATACTGTATCATTTACAAATCATATTAACCCATCGTTTTGCAAAACTAAAACAAACTCAAAAACAAGGAACTACAAAAGGCAAACATGTAATTTAAAAAAAAGCTAGGATTAATTTGAGGCTTTGTCTTATGTCATGGTTGTCCCGTCAACTTTACCATTACCGTTATGGTTACCGTTACTATCATTGCTACACACATTTTCTCCTTGCCATGTCCAAACAATATCTTTCAAGGCAGGTCTAACGTCCTCTTCACAGAACTTGGCATATTCCAAAGTGTCTCCGGAGGACTTGGAAAATTCGACGACGGCGACCTCCGGCGCCACCTCGTACACCTCCGCCGTCACCGCCAACCTCCCTTTCCGGCCCTCCGACGGTCCATGCAACCTCACCTTGAAATCCCTCACCTTCACAACCCCAAAACTCAGCCCCTTCGCCGCCTTCTCGATCCTCGCCATGATCGCCGTGGCCGAGCACCTCGACGTGAACATGGACCCGGTCTTCCTCTTACTCTCGAACAAGCTCGACAAGTCAAACCCGGACGACATCGAGGAAATGAACTCGAACGCATTGAAAAATGCCGGCGACGACGAAGACGATTTCAACAATTCCTCCTTTTCTTCCAACTTGTCATGAATAGAAAAGGTGTTCAGGGATGCCGAAAGGCCTTTTCTAAACCAAGGCGCACGCATTATGGCCGGAATTGTGATCCTCCGGTTGGAATCCACCACCAAAAGCTTGGATATCAACCGTTTCGCCTCCGGAGAAAACCAAGGAGGACAATCATAGGCACCCTGGAAGATTTTCTTGTACATGTTCATGAGATTCTCATCCTGAAAGGGAAGAAACCCTGCAAGGAGGACATATAGTATGACTCCACAAGACCATATGTCCACTTTGGATCCATCGTAGCCCTTCCTTTTTAGGACTTCGGGAGCAACGTAGGCCGGGGTCCCACACTGAGTGTGTAGGAGCCCGTCCTGACGCTGCTGCTCGGGGAGGGCGGTGAGCCCGAAATCGGAGACCTTGAGGTTCTCGTTTTCATCAACCAGGAGGTTCTCCGGTTTGAGGTCGCGGTGTGACACACCGCGGCTGTGACAGTAATCCACAGCACTAATGAGCTGCTGGAAGTATTTGCGCGCTAAGTCCTCCTTGAGTCGGCCCCTGACAACCTTGGCGAAGAGCTCGCCGCCTCTGACGTACTCCATGACCACGAAGATCTTGGTCTTGGTGGCCATTACTTCCCTCAGCTCCACCACGTTGGGGTGGCGGACCAGCCTCATGACGGAGATCTCTCTCTGGATCTGCTCCATCATGCACTCCTTCTTCACCTGATCCTTCTTGATCACCTTGATCGCCACGCTCTCGCCGGAAATGATTTCTTTTCCATAATAAACTTTTGCGAACGTGCCTTTGCCTAATAGCCTCCCCATCTCGTACTTCCCGAACAGTATGTTTCTCTCCTCCATTTTCGACCAATTAACTGTGTGTTTCAGTGTGTGATTGTTGGTTTCAGTGGAATTGGTGAATACCCATTTTGAATTGATGGACAAAAGCTGTGTTCTGATCAATATTTTTTCAATATGAAATGGATTGGAGAGTGTGTTTGGGTGATGGATGGTTTAAAGGAATCCATGAAAGAACTGAGGATATATTGATTTTTATTGGATCCATGGAGAGATGGTGATGGTGGTGTTAAGTTGAATCTGTGAGCGGGTTAAACGAGGTTGGAGTAGAGAGAGAAAGAAGAGAGAGAGTGGAGGTGTCCTGTAGCCATTAGAGCACCTGGTTTTTGGGAAGAGGGACTTCCAAGAAGGGGCAAGAGGAAGAAGCACACAGAATGGCAAAGTAAATACTACCAAATGTCAAGAGCTTTATAGGAGAGAGTACGACAAATGGGAACAAGAAAATGAGACTTTTCCTTATAAATAAATAAATTATTTTATAATATTACACAAATTGAATGACATCTATTTACTTGTACTTTTTTATATGATGATCGAAGTTTAAAATTGAGAATAATCAATTAAGAGAATCTACTCTACCAAATTACTCTGGACTCCGTTCATGAGGTTGTCTTTCAATTAATTCAAATCATGTGAAGGCGCACTGCTTCGCACTCTTATTTATTGAATTTATGACATCATTATTTATTTAATTTATTGAAAGAAATAATTTAATAAATGAGTACATGAGTTAACCATGAGTATACTTTGGTGATAACAATTTTTTTTTATTTTTTATTTTTTATTTTTATCATACCAGATTCAAATAAAGTACAGTCAAATAAAGTACAGTCCATACTTGCCCATATGATGAACTCTCGAACTTGCTGATATGTAAATATATAGAAATTTTTTATTCGTGACATCGACCCCAGCTCATCATGTATATTCTATTATTTTTTATTTTTTTTATTCATTTTTCTAATCATTTTTGGTTGGCGGTGATTCTCTATAGTTATTTCTTCATTGTTTTGTGTGATGTCATGTTGTTTTAGCAGTTGAGTTTGAATTTTAAAGTGGTGAAAATTTTAGAATTTGGTTGGTTTGTAATTCTGAAATTAATCCTCAAAAATTTAGAAAATAATTTTTAGGGAATAATTTGATCATTTTTTTTTTTTTGTTTGTTTCATAATAAAGTGGAAACAAAATTAAAATATATTTTTCTTTTAAAGTAAAATAATTTTTTTATTTTTATTTTTCACTATTTGACAAAAGTTTAAGTGGAGTCCATTGTAATAAACATGTAAAATAAATTGTCAAAAATTAATAAATAATAAATTTTTGTTAAGTTTTAATATAAAAAGAAATTACTTAATAAATATATTACTTTCAATTTTTAACAATCAAACACCAAAAAATTAATAAAAATATATTTCTAAAGAATATTTAAATGCAAACAAATTGGAGCCGAAATGGAGAATTTTTTAAATATTAATGCTCCTTTCTTACTTTTTAGGAAATATAAAAATGAGAACCCCATTGGAGCCTTTATCAAATTGTGTACACGCCTCAATTAGTGATTTAGGGAATCAAAAAGTCGTGTAAACAAAACCAGTACTTTTTGCCTCTCCCCAGATCCCTTGTCCAGATGTGTTTCCTTTTCTATTTTGTTCTCTAATCTTTCATTTTATTATTATTAAATTATTAATCATAGAACAGGTGTACTTTTGTGAATCATTTTTCTAAACAAGGGCAAATCATTAGGGGTGAGTAAATAATCCGTCAATCAGGTCTAAACCAATTTGATCCGTGTGATTCGGTTCGGTTTTCAAATCTCATGGTTTGGTGATGGTTTGAAAAATCTACAATTTTGTATCCGCGATTCGATTAAAGGATTGGACCTTAAAAAATCCGATCCGAACCGTTAACCGATCCGAACTGAACCGTTGTCAATCCGAACCGTTAGACAAATCGAACCAAACCGTTACTAAATAATATATTAATATATGTTATATATATATACAAAATAATGGTATATCGTATTTCTTTTTTCTTTTTTCTTTTTTTATCTTTATTCATTATTCTTTTAATGTTAACCTAACCCTAACTCAGCCTCGCCTCTTCATTACGACATTACTCCAATCTTATTTCAGCCGCGCCTCCCTCACTAACTCAACATCTTCTCTTCACCCTCTTCGGTCTTCTCCTCTCGCCTTTGTGAGTCTGTGACACTCTTCGCCTCTCCCAATCTCTCGCCTCCCAATCTCTCGTCTCTCAATCCAACACCTCTCAACCATCGTTCACCAAATTCGAAACAACGGCGACCTCTGCTTCTACCTCTTTTCCGGTGATGGAGAAAAAAACCAACAATTGAGTTTGTGAAGGTAAACAATCTTATCAGATTCGTCTTTTTTGTCCAATTTTCTGCTTTCTATTTTCTTTTCAATTGCTTAATTTTGTATCTTGATACAAAGATTAGCACTTAAATAATTTCAATTTCTTAAAAAAAAAACTGACCAGCCTCTTTTAGTTGTTATTAATCTCAGAGTTCATTTTCGACTAATTCGAATCCATTTCTCAGATTCCAACAATCTATGTGATTGAATCTACAGGCTTTCGTCATTTGTGTGTATATATACACACACAAACGCGATCGGATCGGATCTGATTTGGTAGGCTGAATCAACGGTTTTGATGGTGTCAACAATGATCTCGAATGCTGTAGTGTGAGTCTATGAAGAAGAAAAAGAAGAAGAAGAAGAAGAAGAGCCAAACCACCAGAGATTAAGCTCAAAATCCTAACAACAATTCGTGGAAACCGAATCGATCCGATCCGTTACTTCATGGATCGGTTTGGTTCAGATTGAAGACCCCCACGGATTGGTTCGGTTTCAATTTACACCAATCCGTGGGGACCGATTTGGCTTGATCTTTAGCTCCAAACCGAACCGATCTGAACCGTGATCAGGCCTACAAATCATTGAGAGTATAAAAGTGTTCTAATATGATATTATTTAGTTCGACAAAAAATTTTCAATATCCCTGCACTCAAGAATGTATTACCGATAAATGAAAACTCCCTATTTTTTCTTAGTAAAAAATTACAATCTCTCATTAGTCTGCATATTACATCCTTAGTATCTGAGTATCCAATGCTTGGGGCTATCTCTAGCCCCAAGAGAATAGTCTAACCACTCATGGTTGTTGTCATCCAACCCTCAAGGGCTCTCTTCATGGTTGAATTCATCCTCTTCCCCCAATACTTTCTTTAACAAGTTAGGAAATTTCTTCTTTAAAATTGATCTCCATAAATACTTGAATCACATTACAAATGACATATGAACCGCAATTTATTTTTATAGGAACTTAAACTCTTAATCTTTCACTGTCAAAATTTTTAAAAATATCATTCGATTACAACCATTGGTAATAAAATGAAGGGTTGATTTGCACCTAAACTTGGTCATTACCTTGTTTTCTAGTGATGACAACCAATTCAGTCTGGTTGAAGTTCCATATTAGATGGAATTTATTTAATTTTTATTATTTTATTATGTAACATTACTGCATAATTTCATTGGTGACGGTGAGAATGAAATCTCTAATGCAACCCTCAAAATTAGTCTTTTGTATGTACGAAGTAACTTGTGAAACAATTTCTTATAAATCTCCTTTTTATATTAAGAGTCAAGTGTAAAAACTCCTCTTCTACTATTGATATAACGCAAAAAGGTCTCTATTTGGTATAAAACTTCCTATACTATTAATTTGGTGCAAATACTTCATTGTTTGCATAAAAAGACTACGAAACCCTCTTGTCAATAAATTATGTTTATTTTTCATATTAATCAGTAGTGTGAAACAGTACCATGGGGACCGGGTTTTTTTTTTATGAAAAATAACATAGCTATATTATATATATATGTATATATATATATATATATTATTTTGTTTCATCATAGACCAAAAAAACTAAAGAACATATTTGAAAAAGTAAAAATAAATGATTTTATATGTATAATTGAAAAATTAGAAAGTCCTTACCATAATTTATTAGGCAGAATAAACAAATAATTTGAAAGCATTACATAAAATATGAAAATATATCTATATAGTATTCATATAATTTCAGACCTAAAGAAATAAATATTTTTATTTAATATGATTTGTACTAAAAACAAAATTGTATAGTATTCATATAATTTGTGACCTATAAAAATAAATATTTACATTTAATATGTTTCATACTAACACCAAAACTGTAAAGCATTCATATAATCTATGATCTAAAGAAATAAATATTTGCACTTTATATGATTCATACAAAAAAAAAAAAAAAAATAGACAAAGTAAAAGAAAACATATTTTTTGATCTAGCTTGGTGATATGAGAAAAGGACAAATTGAGGTTTTTAATTTTGCTTTTGTCAATTTTGATCAAAACGTAAGGTTTATTTATACATTTTTTAAATTCTATGAATTGAAATACGCCTTCTCAAAAAGAAGAGATGGATTGTGCACATAATCACCACAATAAATTGCGTGGAAGTTAAGTCAATTTTCGTTTGGTACAATAATGCAAATCGAAAGGTCTGGCTGGGCATAGCCACCACGATAAATTTATAATTATGAGTTAGGGACAGACATCAAATTAAGATCAGGGAGACACTTATCATTGTCAAACTTTAAAATTTTGCATATTCAACACGGTACTAAGTGAAAAATTTAAGATGCTACAATACAAAATTCGCATACGTTTAGACCAGCTAGGGGGACCATGGCCCTCCAAAAATTTGGAAACCCTGATGAATAGACTTCCATGAGTAGTTGAAATTGAAAATATTGAACAAATTAGGGTTAAATGCAAAAAACCCATTTCATATATAGGCTTTGTGTAGAACAAGTCCCTACTTTTTAAAAAAGTGCATGTAAGTCTACAAAATTCAAAAAAAATGCATAATCGGTCCTCTGACAACTTTTTACAAAAAGTAAAACTGAAAATCCCATTTTATCCTTTTGTTTTCCATTTTGCCCCTCACCACATGTGCATAAAAGTCCCTCAGCATTTGTGCATAAAAGTCCCTTGTGTTGAGTAGTGCTTACATCCTGCGCAGGGAAGATGACGTGGCTGCCTCTGAGAATGACACCTGTCCAAAACTAAAACCCCTCATTAAGATGGGCAAGACCCATTTTTGCGGGTTAAACCCGTTTCCCTCAAATCTCACACATATCTACTCTCTTTCTTTCTCTGTTTATATTTCCTGTTCATGAGAACGGTGGAGAGAAACGGCGATGCAAGAATCCGGCAGAGATGAGGACGGTGAAGGACGGTTCTTGGAGGATCTTCGATCTGTGAGCGAGTTGGCGGTGTGGAGGAGAGCTCGGAGGCGGCGCCGTCAAAGAAGAGGTTTTCTTGGAAGAGG